TTTTTTTCTCATATAATTTCTTTTATGGTACGAATTTTTATCAGATGGAGTGCTGTAGGCTCAGTCAGTCGATACAAGATGCGCGGAGGCATTAGCAATGATAGGTGCTCCGCATTTGCAGGTCGCGATGTCATTGCGCAAGCCCAGTCCGGAACAGGGAAAACTGCTACTTTCTCAATCTCAATCTTACAACGTATTGATGAGAATGAACCGAGTGTACAAGCCCTAGTTATGGCTCCTACACGTGAATTGGCTCAGCAGGTATTCGTTGAATATTCGAGAAGCATCTGGTTGTTTTTAATCTTTTCGAATATAATAAACTCTTACGATAAACTCTTCAGATCCAAAAAGTTATGTGCGCACTTGGAGATTATATGAACATCAAAGTGCATGCCTGTATTGGTGGAACAAGCATTCGTGATGATCAACGCAAACTTGAAAGTGGCGTACACGTTGTTGTCGGCACCCCAGGTCGGGTCAATGACATGATCAACCGTAATGTTCTTCGTGAGTTTTTCCCTTTTTCGCTCAATTTTTAAAAACTCTCCTAGTAGTTTATGTGATAGATTCACTTTCAACTGGACAGTTTTCGGCGATAGAATGGATATGATGAATTTTTAAAGGTCTTTTTGAATTAGCCGATAGAAATGCCACTTTGTTAAGGACTGAAAAAAGAATGCTATGATCTTTTAGTGCCGTTTACTCCTATCTTTTACCTGGCTGCACTATCTCTCGTACTTTTAACGGTTGGAATCTCATAACTGTGAAAAAGTAATCGTATTATATCATATATTAAGCTTAACTAATGCATGGCTGGCTCTCTATAACGCCCACCATCTTCAACACAGGACAAACGTATAGTAAGACCTTCTGTACCAAAATTGCGCTTCTAAACCACTCTTATTTTTTAGGAACCAGTTGGCGTAATAATGCATCATGATTCCCTCAATAATATAACGAGAAGCAAGTCGATTGAGTTAGAGGTCAATAATGAATTTCCTCGGGAATCCGTATTCTGCATTTTTGCTATTGCCATTTTCCGTAGCAGCAGATAGAAATCATCTAGCTTTTGGGGACCAGTGCTTTTGAGAAAGGTCTCTGAATAGAAATCCATACCAAAGTGCAACGTTGCAAGCCTGTAAATCTTGTGAAAGTCGGCGAGTTCATCACGAAATTTGGTGAACATGCCTACATCCTCGCATCAAGGAGGTAAGTTTAAGAGCCATTGCATTAGTGCAGCTACGCATATTCTCGGGCTACAACTTAGCACGAGAGCATTTGATGTTTTCTTCCTGCTTCTTTCTTTCTTTCTTTGACGTGCTCTTCATTACATTGCAAGCAGGTCAAATCACTTTGGGCCTTGATTTGGATGCCTTTTTGAATGTCACTTCAACTTTTTCGCACTTTCGGCACTCTCAGAAAATTGTTTATACGCATGCTTTTTGAGCGTTCAAGGGAAGTTCCGAGCTGCAGTTCATGAGATTTGTTTCTAAAGAATTTTCTTCTACTGTTAATTTATCATATGACGCTGATTCGTAAACCTGTACATTCTATTTTGAAATGAGGCAAAAAGCCAAGTAACTGGTATTGCACGAACTGATTTGAGTCAACAAATTGTTAAATTTTTTCATTCCAAATTAAGAAAGTATTGAGTTTAGAAACAAGTCGCATCAAGATGTTTGTTTTGGATGAAGCTGATGAGATGCTCTCCCGCGGTTTTAAAGATCAAATTTACGAAGTTTTCAAGACTTTGCCTCAGGAAGTGCAGGTTAGCAATTTTGATGTCCGCCCTATCGAATTTTATCCACTTTGTCGTTTTTAGGTTGTGTTGCTTTCCGCCACTATGCCTACTGACGTACTTGATGTGACGGATCGATTTATGAGGAATCCCATCCGCATTCTTGTGAAGAAGGAAGAGCTAACTCTCGAGGGTATTAGGCAATTCTATATAAACGTTCAAAAAGATGTAATACGTTTTTTGTTTACTTAGCATAAATTCCTTTTTTGCAAAGGTGCTTTCCAGGAGTACAAATTTGAGACACTTTGCGATCTTTATGATGCCGTTAATGTAACCCAGGCTGTTATCTTCTGTAATACGAGAAGAAAGGTTAGGAAAATATATCTAACACTTAGCGAAAAACCTATTTCTTTTTTAGGTAGAGCAGCTTACTGAACAGATGACAAAGAAGCAGTTCACCGTATCTAGCTTGCATGGAGACATGGAGCAGCAAGATAGAGATGTGATCATGCGCGAATTCCGATCGGGCTCTTCTCGTGTACTTATCACTACTGATCTGCTTGCTCGTGGTATCGACGTTCAACAGGTACAGCGACATTAAGTTGTATGTTTC